TATGCACCTCTCCATCACGATTTGTTAAACCAGCCGTTGGACCCTGGTTTAGGCACTTTCACTGTGTGGGAGATGTATTCCTCCATTCCGACGTTGATAATTTCTGTTATCGAAGAACAGACAGCCGACGCATCCGCGTCAGTGAAACAGACCTCTCTCCAAGGAAAGCTAGAGAAGAAGTCTCTGAGCCCTCCCACTCGGCATGTCTGTGATGAAAAGTTTTACGGCCTGTACGAGTTTGTGCTGCCACAAAGGGTTGTGACCGAAACCTATCCTCTACAACACCGTGGTCTGAGTTACCTAGGGGGGACAGGACAGCAGTGCTGTAAGGGACATGATGGCCCCTGACTGCACGACCTGCTGCATCGGTCTTGTTTGAGCCCAACCAAAGCTCATTATGGGCATTGAAATCACCGAGAAGAACTACCTCTGAAGCGGGGTGATTGATGTTCAGGAAGTCGATCTGGACGGCGACGTATTCGAGTAGGTCATCCCAGTTCTGGTCCGAGGGAGAGCGATAAAGGCAGCCAAAAAATTTGAATGATATTTTGGAGTTGAGGCGAAGTCACAGAATGTCCTTCCGGTCTCATTCCAAAGAAACATCTCTGGAGCACGAAAGACTGCTGCGGACAAAAACCGCAACTCCCCCGTTCTTTCTCGGATTGGAGTGCACCTCGTAGTTTCGGAAGTTGAGATGGTTAATCGGTGCAGACTCTGAGATTCTTGTCTCCGCCAAGAAAAGCACGGCGGGCCGATTGGATTGCAGGTAGTGATGAACAGCATCAATGTTGCTGTTAATCCCGCAGATGTTCGAAAAGCAATTTTATCTTCGATGTTGTTCCCTCGAGCCCACCCTCCACCCGGACATTCGTTAACCTTTTGATTGACTTGATCCGTTTGATTTCTCTATTGTACATGTTCGTAACTAATTTTTTCTCAGACGCTTTAACGTGTGCTGAACTAGTAATTATTGCAACTTAGTGGGACTTGTAGTTTACGTTGATAAAACTTCTCGATTTTTTCTTCTGAGATAGCCCGTTCTTTGCTAATCCTATCGAACCTTTGTCGTCTTATGGACAGGATATAATGCTCGCATATTGGAAGCAATAATCAAATAGCACTGAACATGTTCCCCTTTGTTGCGTTAACAGCTAAATACGATCTTTATCCTCGATTTGTTTTCTCCGTTATATTTTGCTTCAAAAATAACCCCACAAAAAATAATCTCATGGCGTGAGGTCGGGTGACCTAGGAGGCCAGTGACTGTCTCCAAACTTTTTGAGAAAAAAGTGATTTCACTGTGTCCATCCTGGCCCCATCCTGTTGAATCCATGTGTTTCTTTTAAAACGACGTTCTGTTCTTACAATAGGAGCAAAACAAGTGTCAATCATGTCATTTTCAAAGAAATTTGGCCCAATAACACCGCTAGCGGATATGGCGCACCAAACAGTCACCTTTGGACTATGTAGCTGTTGTTGATGTTTCTCTTTTGGGTTCGTTGGTGCCCAATATCTGCAATTTTGCTTGTTCACATAATCGTCTAAGTGAAAATGGGCCTCGTCACTGGAAACAACGTTCTCCAGTCTTCGCTGCGTAGGAAAAATATTCAAATTCCGTTCAGCACAAGATTTCCTTAACACGTAATCACTTTTCTTTAAAGCATGGACTGATTGGATTTTATAAGGATGAAAACGATTTTTTTTCTTTATTATGCCATGCATGTGTTGACCTAGGCCCGCTCCGGCCCAACGTTCCATTGTGACTATTTAACCCGTACACCGAATGCATCGATCAAGACCTCTCTCCACTTCCTCGCGTATACGGATTCAGATTTGAAACTGGAACTTTGTTACTTGACTAACCTTGAAATTAACAAAGTTTGTTCAAGCTCCTCATAGCAGCCGTGGTGCCATGGCATTTAGGCTTCTGCCTGTACGGTGGCTTCGCCATAAAAAAATCGTACAAAGACCTTCCTAGGTGACACTCACAGCGTATGGTCTATCCGAATAGGGTATTACTTAGTGCCAATTTTGGTCACACAAATGGCAATAAAAAATTGATAGAACCCCTCCGTATAAAAATCCTCATAAAGGAGCCTTACGTTTTGTGCTCAAAACCTATTTGTATCGAAGTGAAACGGCAAAATTGGCACGTACTACGTAGAAACGTCTTCGTGATAAATTTACATAATATGCTACGTACTCCTATTATTGAGCAAGCCGCTGGTGAACCCAGTGCTGAGGTTTAAGTAGGTACATTACTGCTTCTGACTGACAGCAATTTTTAGTACTTATTGTGTCTAAGTATGCAAAGAGGAGCAGTCGGAGTGTTTTGTTCATATAATTCTAGGTATGCTTCGGTTTCTTCCTGCAGTATATCGGATCTACTTGTTACGAACATTAAAAATATTAAAATTCGTACTGGTATAGCTGTCTATTCTGTATAATAATAGCCCAAATCGTTATTTTACCGCTCGGCATTTGTCGGAGAACAAAGCGAGCGTGGTAGTATTCCAAGTGTGTGGTGTCCTGAAAGTTGGGATTTCCTTTGATGAAACAACTATGTTTGAAATAACAAAGCTAGTACTCACCGTTCATAGAAAAGAATGTCCAAGTACAGCTCTTGTTCAAAGTTGTCTGCGATAGATTCAAAGATACATGCATGTGTTCAACGTAGCCAAGCATAAGCGTATGCTTTTAGCATATGTAGCAGATTGCTAAACTCGCACACGTATTTTATCAACCGCGTTCACCTCACTTTTATACGCTAAAAATTTAATTTGGCCCCAACAAAAAATAAATTTCGCAGGATCTTGAAAAACGATCTGCATGCACTCGCGAAGCCTCGGTAGCAATTTGGAGACACTCTCCTCAAATTGAGATATGAACAACTCCGGTATTGCTGTATGAGTGCCATTTTTGTTTTTTAGAACCGACGTGTAGATTGATGTGACCGAGTTGCAGGATCGTATTAGGTTTTTTTTAGGGTTGCGTATGCGCAATTCTGTGTCATTTAATTCTATCATTGGTTTTAAATACAATACGATCCTGTTGTAGAAAAATGAACAAATGCAAATGTTGATTGTTTGAATTTGTTTGGTGACCAAATCAAGAGTCACGACTTTTAAATATCTGTTATTTCCTTTAATTACCTCGAGAATGATTGAAAAAACTCATGGCGTGCTATTCAACAAATATGAAATTGAAAAGGCGTTACCGAGGCATTCGATGCGTCAGGGATGTTTATGCAGTTCTGTGGTTCTGATTATTTTGTCGTAAAAGTACGATAGATAAGAAAAACTTATTGTTGCTGAGCTATCAATAGTCATGATCTATCATCAATTTTCAAAACCAGCCGTCAAATTTGATTTACCACACGAACTGCCAAAAAAGTTTCACTCTTCTGTAGGAATCAAAATAATTACCTGTTTCCAACTGTCCACAATCGACAAAAGTTTGTTGCTACAGGCAAAAAAGTCCTGCTTTCTCACGTCCTGAATTACTCAATAATATATTGCACATTAATCCAGTTAAAGAAGTTGACATTAAAACTTGTCAATTTTATCTATAACAGAATTAAAATCACGCTTTCGCATGTCCCCGTTTTATCCTGATGTGACATTTACGTTGAGCTGACATCAATATATTTCCTTTTACAACCATCCAGTTCTCGATTTTTCTTCGGGACCATGAAAATGTGCGTGCGCAGGTTAGTGCTGCATGTATTTTGTGGTATTTGTCTTTGTGTGTTGTTTTGATGTGCTTTTAGTCTGGTAAAGATGCACTGATGTGTGAATCCTACCCGGATCAAGTTATGTGATAGGAAATTTCACTATGAAACAGAAAAGTTGCTCGATGAAACGATTTTGAATTCCATTATGACGTTAAAAAAATTAATGCAATATCATCACATATTTTTTGAAAATAAGAAGTTAGCTTTTATTTAGCTGTTAATAACGGGGTATTTCCAATCGGAAAAAAATATTTATGAATTTTTAGCTCGTTTTAAATAAAAAGTTACATTTTTTCTTTTATTTTATGCTTTTTAGTCAAATAATTGGTTCAAAAATGTCTATCCAATATACATATATTTTGTACATTGTAAGATTTCGATCATAACTTGATCGGGATATTAACCACCTCTGCGTCTTCCTTATTGAAAGGCTTATCTAGTTGGCATTCTGAGTGTTGTTCACGCATGTTATGCGCATTATGCCGTCGATAAATAATAAAATAATGTCTTCTTGACAAGATGATGCTCCGTTTGGTTTACACACCGTTCGTTCTTCGGAAAATGATTGATTGTTACTGAGGTATGATCTCTTATGCTGCGTTTTCGTAAAGGCTTTTCTTTTCTTCAAAGCGACGGTTTTTGACAGAATTAACACCAACGGTGGCGACTACCAACCAAGAGGATTGAAAACTAAATTGGTATGTCAATGATATTACATGAGACATGCGACTTTGGCTGTTCCATGTAGGAATATAGTAGAGATATGTGACTTCAGTATTAAAAATATCAACTCATTATTCATACAGTACTTTTCAAAAAGGTTTTCCCACTTATTTGAGTTAGCAAGCTGATATTTGGGGTGCTTTGGCATCTCATCCTAACCGTGTCGAACTTCGTGCATCCAGAACTGGCCGGTACGATCGCTCATTTGCCTCTAGGGTACCTTTTTTTGAAGGATCTATCCGACTGTGCATATTGGGATAGATTCTTTACTGACTTGCTCAGTTATAAGGGGCCGTTCAAGTATTACGTAAGCAGACTTTACGTCGTTCTCATCGAGCCATTCAACAACATGCTGCTCTAAATTTTGAATAATGCACATCAGTTCATTAGCACGACGAGCAGCGACTCTTACAGGTCTAACTTTCCTATCACTGTACGTGTTTACTTTTTTATGGATATTTTCGATGTGACGATTTAGTGACTTGACGGAAGCATGATAAAGGCCACACGTTTTGCATGTTCGACTTGATAGACTCAATTTTACCTTCGGACAAAAATAATCGTAGGGCATTTGCAGGAAATCTTTGAGTGAAGCACTTAAGCGTAGAGCTAAAAGATTAAGAAATTGTATTCCTTCATCCAAAACCAAGTCATCAACTGATTGGTTTACTTTTACAGGTGGTGGAAGAAACCTATTGTCTAGTAACCTAAATAGGCCACTTCTTGGACGATAGCATTCTGTATTTCTACATTTTACAATTTGAAGCAAGTATTGGCTCTCACGCACATGTTCTGAATACCATTTGATGTCTGGAAAATCAGGAAGATCTTGTTCACCTGCCCCAACATATTTTACATTAACATTATAGTCATCAATTTCCATTGCACTCCATACTTCAGCTAATACATTTCCTGCAAATTCGACATTAGATCTTTCTAAATATCCATCAATTATAACGCTACGTTCATCCAAATGAGACCCAAAATGGTCATGAGGCAATATTAAACCAGCCAGTTCCCGACTAAGAGGAGCCATTCTGCGCTCTACTCTGTTATACGCACTTCTTCCAGGAGCATTGGTAGCTAAAAACAATGCATCGATATCATGTCGCTTAAAGTGTTGTATAGCAAACCCTATGACTTTTTGATAACGTGGATTTTCATCTGGCCATCCATCAACCGTCATGATTACCACTGGTCAGTTTTAGCTAATGGTCGAAACTCAAGTTCGAGAAGCGTCTCGAAATCCTGAGCATGAGTATTAGCAGTAGATGAACTATGCTTTCCACTTCGAATAGCGATGTATGTTGGTCCAGAATATCCAACTGCTTGCGGTTGTCCTAGCATATTGGAAGTGATTTTGATACGAGCATAAACAGATGGTATTAATTTATGACGCTCATCGATTACCCAATCGTGATCAGGCAACTTGATTCTATATTCCATTTGCATTAGGAGAGGTGCTTGCTTATTTGCCGCAGTTACGCCAATCGGGACTCGAGCTTTATCATCTTGAGATATGAAAAATACTTGATCTGGTCCAAGTATGGATGCTTTGTTCTCTAAATAATGGATTGATGTTTCAGCGAACTTGCTATCTAAGTGGCTCTTGTGGTGTTCAGTTTGAGCCCGATTGAGCTTAACAGGGACTGTCGATACATGTATTCGTCCCTCTGCAGAATTAGATATTCTGGGAATCAAACGAAGATATGTCCCACTGCGACTAATGTCAAATCCTATTTTACGTAATTCTTGTGTGGGTTCATCAAGAGTTTTTACGCTGCGAATTGATTCCGTTCGTCTTCTATCATCTGCTGCACTCCCAAATAAAGCTATATCCGCGATTGTTTTCAATAGTGAATGTTGATTGCTTTCAAGATTAGGACGTCCCATTGAATACCTCAGAGATAGTCTTTTTTTTATTTCTGGATTTTCATGACAAATATCTTCTAACTTTTTTTTCATACCATCCCTGTGTTTCTTCTGGGCAACTGCGTTTTGAACCTTCCTGTTGAAAGACTGTTTTGCTGTTTTTATTTCCTAGCGCAACTTAATGATCTGTTTAGCAACTTCAGCACGGGTTGGCATAGTATCTCTGGCAGTATACAAAGCATTCAGATTTTTTTCGAGTAGAGCAATCTTATTTTTCATAGCTTCCTGAGAAGGTTTTGCTCTCTGTTTATCTGTATTTTAATTGATTTCGTATTGCTGCTGTGATTCATTACCGGGTTTTATTTTATCTTCTTCCCCTTTTTTAATATTTGAAGCTGACTGTATAATTTGTGTTTTTTCTGAAGGTTTACAGGTTGCCTAAAAATAAAAACTTTCTATGGCTTCTGCTAAAGATTCTCTTATTAAGCCACATAAATACAAAGTATGGCAATATATATGGTAAATACAAAACCCTATGGCTTTAAATCTAATATGTTTAAACGAGCAATTCGTTCCGGTCACAAAATACAGGGTGTTAGTTTTCTGTATATATGTATAAAAGTAACATCCTGTACTTTGTGACCAATTGACGGAATCAGTCATAAGAAATATATCTATAATATAATGAATATTACCTCTATACTTTGAGATAGGCCATAATATTTTCTAATCAGTAAAGAGAAACTTTTTGGCGATTTCTAATAATTTTAGTACTCATAGGTACCTAAAATGATTTCGTCACTTACCTTAGAAAAAACATTTGGTAGATTGGATTTATTCTTAGTCGCCGCTTGCAATTCTTCTTCGATTCTCTTAGATACAATAATATCTAGTTCCTTGTCGGATTTTGCTTGTAATTTGTAATTTCGCCAGACTTCGTTAACTAACTTTTGCACATTTTGTACTTTCGTACTTGTATGAGATTTTTTAAAACTTTCAAACAATTTTTGGTATAACTTGGATTTGTCTATGTGAAACGACATCTTATTTAAACATTAAACTTTGGCTAATGGAATCAATGATAACACAAATCTTAACTTGCTTTACTATGCTTACAATACGTCTACTCGCTATAGTATTCAAACGAAACAATACACTGATAGAGGAAATTTAGACAGTGAACACCGCGCGGTAATTCCCCTACTCGGTTCTAAAGCGAGTAGGGGAATTACCGCGCGCTGTTCACTAAACGTATGCATTATTTGCGGGAATCCCCGAAAATGCGTTTCGTTTTCAAGCAAAGACAATGTTAGGGTTGCCATTTGTGTAAAAAAAGTAAATAACTACCGATGACGTAATCATCATCTAGACTCCCCCACCCCCCATTTCATCCAAAATAAGCAAAGCAAAGACCCCCCCACCATAGTGCTCACGTAATACTTGAACGGCCCCTAAGTTAATGTAAAAAGTTGCTCATCTTTGACAGTTTACCATTTTGACAGACAGTAGAGCTTCAGAATTCCAGCTCCCTAACTCGGAGTAGTTGGGGTACCTTTTTTAAAAGCACCGTATGGATACTTGAAGTCGCCAATTGTGTACATTTTTAACAAGTCACTAATTGAGTTTGATTATCTATTGGTTGGTGATCGCGCCCTTACAGGAATAATATTGAGTAATGTCTGCTACGTAAATATAGCCAACCTGATACTGCATTTCGGCGTCCAAAAATTATCCGAGATGAAATTCTTCAACATGGAGTCATCTGTCACAGTTATATCTTTATATTTCGGTTATTTTCTTGGTCACCGAAAAACAGTTACAGGTACACGGTTGGCTGTCTTTAGATAGAATACGTTAATCAATAATAATATCGTATTGAAGTCAGTGCTGAAATTTGCGGGAAATTATTGCGAAATACGGAAATTGGTTATCTAGACGCAACGACGCGTTTTTTTAGCGTAATCCGCTTTCTACTTCCGAGACTCGATATCATTGTGACAGTGATCCATATGCACTTTTATTTAGAAGAAAGAAGAGAGTAATCGAAGAGATTCTTATTTATATCACTTTATACATATTAATATCTGATATCTGAGTTACTTTGGAAGCTAATTTCAACAAGAGTGAATGCATACACTGAAGAAGCTCAGGGTTACTCGTTACAACGAAGTTTTGAAAAACTCACAGTTCATTGTCGCCGTGTTTAATTTAATATTAGCTGAAGTAATTTTGTTTTGCTGGTCTATCAGATTACCAAAGAAAAATATCCCAGAGAAGGTTGCATTTTATTAATAAATAAAAAATATGTAGGGCGTGTCGAAAAGGACTATTTATCGGAATATTAAGAGAAAGGATTCTTAAATGTGATACAATCATCCACATAAATGTGTGCTTTCGAATTGTTCTTGATCCACGTTGGTATTTATGTTTATACTAATTCCAGATATAGTTTTTCCTAAATAACCATCTTATTTGAAGTATATGTATTATGCAAGAGGACTGAACGCCTCAAGGAGGTCATCTGGCTCATTTCACTTTATTGTTAAACACATGGTTCATTAGGCTGTTTAAATTTCATCGGGCTGTGTAGGCAGATGATATACAGGGTGACTTTGAAGTTGAGTCATTCATTTTCAGATAATGATTGTAGAAGGAAGATAAACCAAAATATGTGTGTAAAAATAAAAAAAAATAAAAAAATGTTTACCTTGTTTTATAAAGTATCCTCCCGACAAGTATTTCAGTGCGGACCTGTATTTGATCGTGAGGTCTTGGAGCACCGGCATGCCGTCGCCTGTGAGGTCTTAAGTCACCTGATTCACGAGCCCGTTGTACTACATTAACAAAGGCACGAGGGGTTGGTTGCACTCGATTGGGAAATCGATCCGCATAAACATGTGCCACTAAATAAACAGACACCACTATTCACTCACGCGTTAACGACTGACACTGACTGTATACAACGGAATAAAATAATTGTAAAAACATCGTTCCAAATTCTTTCGCTTTTTTGTTTCCGATGCGATGAACCGATAAGGCGGATTATATCCGTTGTTGCCAAACACGAGCACATAATATTATGATTGAGACAGGGCGGTACTTAAACTTCCAAAGGGCTATAACTTTGTTACTTTAATTTTACCAGAAAAATGGTAAAGGAAAAAAACATTTCTTTTGATCAGATCTACTCACTGTTAAAATAAATGACTCAACCTCGAAGTCATATCATATCATCGCATAAAAAGTTTAATACAAAATAAATTAGTATATAAAACGCTATGTTTCATATTCCAATTATTACTTTTCAATTAGAAAAAATCCCAATTTCAAATACACGAAGCCTGTAACTTAACAAATAAGAGTTCCACAAAAAAAAATCGTGCTCCCTCTTCCACACCTAATGGAAGTACGAACAGGTCCAATATGAACGATTTTTAAAATGTCACTATTTTCCGCTTTACTGTCATTGCAATTTTAGTAGGAATGAAAATAATTTTAAATCTAACGTTAAAGCAATGACATGGAATTCCTCTATCCCATTTCATTTGATCAACCTTTTTGATATTAAAGGGAAATCATATCAGTATTATGATATTAAAGCTCAACATTAAAATCATGCTGTAATTTAACTTCGAGTAGGTAAATGAGTAGCCGGACTGGCGTAAAAAAACCAAATCAGACGGCAAGCTTTCTTGGGGGCCGATGACCTAAAAATATACGTAAAAGCACTTGTACTCCAACGCATTGACGGAGCTGTAGGCTATAACACGCATGAATGAGAAGATAAAACAACAGTATCAGAATTCATTAGATATATTAAATACCTGTAAACGTTAGTCGTTTAACTGCCTTGGAGAATTATAAAAATATTCATTGATGGATTCTGCTTAGCGATAGCGTTAAGCAGGCGTTTTAGGTCATTTTTTTCCTAATTTGGTTGCGGGTACTGGATGGTAAAATTAAATAAATCTGTCACCTCCAAAATTTAGCTAGGCAAATACTGTTCAATGATTGACAGTTCCTTTGTCCTTATTTGTGAACAATCTACTCTTACCAACAGACGCTTTCTTCCATGATATAAGTTTAAAGTATTGCGTTCATCGTATCATGCCTTTTTTAGTTTCCTGCTCTGTAAGACTTGAGGAGAAATTAGCAACATCCAAACTCTGCAGATGATTTCACACTTTGAACACTCTAGAAATGAATAAGCAGTCATTTAGTTGTTCTGTGGAATTTCCGTTATCCGTAATAAACTTCATAATTATTCTAAGTAACTAAACTATTCGGTTCAATTTAACTGAATTTTTTGGAAGCAGTTTAATTGAAAGTAATAAACTATTAAACTAATTTGCCTGAAAATAGCAAAGCATGTACCTGTCTTATTAAACTGTTCATCAGCTTAGGTAATTTAATTTATGCAGAGACGGTACATTGAAAACAATCAAACATTTCAATAAAAACAGTTAAACTGTTTGTTTGAATCGCGAACTCGGCAGGACTGGGCTGTAGCGCACTTTGTTTCATTTGTATTTTTCGTGAAGAGCTTCGTATTTGAATGTCGCCGTTGTAGCTGTGAAGTGGATCAATTATTGTGATCAAGCATACAGCGTTCAGTGATCCATGATAACGGTTAGAATATTTCTCGCTCCCTGTGTCTGTTTAGTTTTAACTAGACAGTTTACGTACACTGAATAAACAATTTTAATAAATATAATTAAATTGTTTCAATTAGATCATGTTAACTCGTTTTAGTAGTTCATTAATTTTAAATAAATTGGTGTGCCTAATCTAAGTAAACGGTTTAGTAAATTTAATCAAACGGTTACGTTTTGATGCGATTGAACTAGTTTTATACATTCAAGTAACCTGCTTTGGAAATTGTTTAGTTGTATTAAACTTGTTTCCTGTCACAGTAAAGCACACGAGCACAAACCGCTTGTCGGTAGGTTTGCGTGCTAGATAGGGGTCATAGATTATTCTTATTTCTCACCTATAAACTGCAACAGACATGCACACGATAGTCGCACTGAGAAAAAATGTAATCAAACCATTTAAAATTTCAATCAAGTCAATTAAATAATTTACTCAATTTGAGTTTGATCAGCGAAGTAAAAATCTAATTTCTACATTCATTTATTACTATCTATGAAACTAGTTTAAATCAAAACGCAATCGTTTATTTGCATTTATTAAACCATTTACTTAGAATAAATACACCATATCATTTAAAATTAATGGACTATTAGGATGAGTTTGCTTGCCTCAAGTAAAACAATTTAATTATATTCATTAAACTTCTTTAATAAGTGTAGGTAAATTATTTACCTATTTTTAATGAACTATTTTATTTAGATTTGAAAGTATTTGGAACGTAAAACAACAAAGTTCATTTTGCTAAATGATGTATATTATAACTGTGCTCTGACAAATCCAAGATATCAAAAACATTGGAAAACTTGATATTGATAATTGATATTTTTCCGAGTACGCAATTCAAATTGTCATTTTCCAGAATAACTGTTAAATTGAGCACGTTTACTCAGTGCATAAAAACAGCTATTCACTTCGTAACTTTTTCAAAATAGATAGATTTTTTTTTTGAAACTAATCGAATTACCCGGTATATCACCGGTGATCATAACAGTGTCCTTGATGTCGAAACGGGGCTATTACCATGATCCGTTTGTAAAACGTGAAATGTATATTTTTGTCGGCTTAGATCTTGTTAGTGAGCCTGGGCAATTACGGCCCACTTAATTGCGAAGCGCCTCTGCGGCGTCACCGCATTTACGAAACCCCATTGGCCAGGTAAAAGTTTACGACCGGTCATGTGGGAGGCATAAGTCAGAGACACACAATAACGGAGGTGACATTGGGAGAAATTTGAAACACAAAAGTATACGGGACAAACGAATAATACGATATATCTCAGTATTTAGTACTATTTATTTCTCAAATCGTTTTATTTTTTTCGTGACTTCATTTGTAGTGAGATTTTCAAAATAAATTGATCGCGATCTTGTAGAGAAGAAAAAGTGACAGTGACAATATATAATTTACTTCGAAATCCCATCTCAAGACAGGAAAAATCAGAAATGTGTTTGAGTTAAATCTGGTATGCAAAACAAAACACTATTTGATAATTTCAAGGCCTCCCTAGGAAATTGTGTTCTATGAAATAATTGAGATGTTGTATAGGAAAAACGTGGCGATGTGAAATAGCATCTCAAATAAATCCAGGAAATAATAAAGATGATTTTAGGGAAATTCGTTTTTTTTCGTCTCTCTCTGGAAGTGCTTTGCTTTTGAAGCGGCATTTTGTTAGTTACCTAAATTTGGAACTTTGTCCCCATTTAAGCAACTACGTATATCTTACTGTTTCTGAGATTCCAATAGTGAGGGCCGAATTTGAAACACCCGCTGTACTTCAGCAGCAAAGTCTGCAGATGACGCAACTTGGCATAGACAGGATTCATCATGATCTAGAGACAAAGAAAATGCTCCTTCTAACCTAGAGTGTGGAACGACGCAGAGCTTTTCTGGCAATATAAAGGGTTTGCCATCCGTTGCTTTATTTTTTAAATTGGTATTAAAATTACACTTTTCAATAATATGTAACACTCGATACTTTATTCAAAAGAATACACCTTCCGATTATCTATCAAAAACAATTTCAGCTAACAGTTCTGGGTATGCTTTCGCGTTCTTTGGTGTTTTTGGGGCGATGAACGAGGGTGACGTGTCTCTTACATTAAAAAGCAACAGCTATTCTCATACTTGCTTGTCGTTTTGAGGGTTTGGACGTCCTTTTTTGGGAACAGGAATTCAGACTATTGTAATAACACACTGTATCGAAATGGAAAACTGGAAGACAGATAAATCAAAAAACTCACATTGTACTGCAAAATACCACTTTTGTGATTGAGATCTTGAGAAGATCTGTCAGTATATGTGGTTTTATTGGCCAAGAGAGCATGAGGAATATCGAATATGTTAAGAAAATGAAACCTCATTTGGGATATTTAAATATCACGCTTATTGGCTGATACGAGTTTTCTGAGGTTCCAGCAAAACCTTGTGGATACTCCGTGGGCCATATTTTGGTGCCGTATTTTTTTTGTATGTACTGTTTCTGTAAATAGTTAATATTTTCGACTAGTAATAAATTATTAACGAATAATATTCTGTACAAACTTTCTTAATTGAATTAAAAAAACAATTTCTTAACGAGCCTCCCTAGGAGGTTAAAATGTAGGTAGATAATGAGTTTTTAAAGGTACACACATTTTTATTTGTTTCTGTTTCTTCGCTATTTTGTATTATGTTTGATCCAACCAAAGGAACAAAGTTTCTACGGTGGTAGTCCTTATTTTTTTGTACCATTTTGAACATTGTTATATATGACATATACTATTATATACGAAATAAAATATTTATTATTAGATCAGTTCGGTTTTTGAATTGATCTTACATCTAGTCCACGTAGTATATAGGAATCTGAATCTGTTCAAAATGGATGCACTGTATTATTATTATAGTAGGACGTATTTATTTTTTATTTTTATCTTGTTTCGACCGACAAGCAACATATTTTAACACAAGTGACACCTAAATCATAGTTAGATATACAAGATGGTCCGGTAAAATGGAAAAGTAGCTGTATGTGGAAAAATGAACATTATCATAAAATACCATTATGGCAGGATTAATAATACGAAATTACGTCATTTCGAGATCATAATTTGTACACGTCATTTTAAAATATACAGGGTGATCAATTAAATAAAATAGTAATAGTGAGTTTAATAGTTGTTATTTGATTATACATCTGAAAATACAACTTCTTTGTCTCTTGTATTTTTTTCGTATCTCACTTCGCGTGTTTATAGAAACTTTTCACATATTTTTTAACAAGGAATTACCCTCTAAAATATCTCCGTCTATTTTTCGAACACCTTGTGTACCTATAAGTCCAAAAAAATCACATAAAAGTACTTTTTCATTTTTACCGAAGTTTGAATACCGATGTCTTACGTATTGGTGCTTAATGGGCTTTATTGTTTTCCGTACTTTTTATTGAGACAGTAAGATATAACAATTCAATAGCAATAATGGTGATAATTATGGATACTAATGTTGCTAACGGTCCCCTTTGTGATGTAAAGTAATAATTTTTTAAAAGCATTGTGTACCTTGAAACTATCATATTAGCTAGCATTATTTTATTGAAAGCATGTTTCTTTAGATCAATGTTTATCATTTTGTTAATTTATTTTAGATTATATATTGTTAATGTACAAATGTCTTTGGTTTGGTAGTGTCAGTGCCTCTAGCGATATGTATTTCCACTGTTGACTACTGATTTTGAGCGAACGAAAAATGTTCGATAGGGCTAAGCAAAATTAGCGTTTATATTTTGTGGCAGTGTTTCAATGATGTAGAAATATTTATTAGTTAATTCTTCAATACAATGGGCGCATTCAGCAAGTGACAGCTCTGCGAGATCATCTTTTTTTCAGCTGCCTGTTTGGAGCAGTATTCTAAGTCCTTTCGTGGCTGAAAAATAACGTAAGCATTTTTTCTGTCAAAAATTACAAAAATCAGTATTTTGATCGAATGATGCTTGAGGCTCTTTCGAGAAATATACGTTTTGATTTTTCGGTAGCAACATGTGGAGATATATGTTGCTAAATATAGAAGAAGAACGACTAGGGATATTTGGGATCAAATCTCAATTCAGATATTTTGACTGCGTATAGCCAGTGATTTTCTAAATCGTTGTGATAATAAACATGTTTTTAATGTCTCAGTATGGCTTTTTTAATAGACCGAATTATCATTAGCGTTTGGCTTAGTCTTAACCGTTCGCGTATACAAAAGGACAACAAATGTCATTATATTCTCACGATTTACGATAGATACGTAATAAGAACGGCATGTGCAATGTGTACAGGGCATACGGATTTTTTACTGCGAGATTTTATCATAACTGGATAAGTGAATAACCTATCCGTCCAAGAATATAAGTTGCGTGACAATTTTGTAGATTTTTATTTGTGTAAAGTGTTTATCCCAAAATTGGTTTTATACAGGGTGACAGGTAAATAGGTGTAAAACATTTTAGGAGGTGATAGTACAGCCCCTTTGCTATCGAAATTAGTATATAATACCATACCCTATATTCAAAGGTTGAAAAGTTATTGAAGATTTAAGATTTTTTTTAAAACAATCCATATTTCAGAGTAAAAAAGTCGAGAGAGAAAAAAGTTGACGATTAAACATTTGTTTTTTGTGGTTTTGGGTTATTATTTCAATAATTAACTATTATAAATTAAAAAAGATTCGAAAACAATACCAAATAACGTATTTATTTTCATTCAAAAATGTTTAACCAAGAAAAACAAATAACATTTTACAGTCAGTAAGGTGTTTTACAAAAAAATCAGTATACAAAAAACGTACAAACAATTTAAATAATATCCTTGTTTCATAAGGAATCTAAATTGGTATGATAAGTGCACAAAAACTGTGTGAAACTAAACATAATGTATTGTAATACAACAATAGGGAGTAAATTTACCAATGGCTTGTCTCTTGTTTCACAACTCTCTGATTGATAAGAAAGTGTTTTTGTGAAAATAATGTAACTGTAAGCTATGGGATAGTTATTATTTTAAACTACGCTTAAGTTACACGATTAGATTATTTACACAGTTGTAATTGTACTACAGAATAATAAAAACTGACTAAAAGTTACTACAATTGGTAAGTAAAATACAATAATGAAATGAAGGTAAAATTCATTGCAATTGTTCGAACTGACGCCCGCCGTTTCTTATGCAAGCCCGTAGTCTTTTTCTCATGTTGGTACGCGTGATGCGGCCAGTTAGTTGTCCTCTGATAGTGTCAGCAGCAGCAATAATTCTTTCTTTCAACTGTGCAAGAGTGTCTATGGGCTCAGCGTACACCAGTGACTTCATGTACCCCCATAAATAATAGTCACACGGTGTTAAATCTGGGCTCCTCGCTGGCCACGGTGTCGGTCCACCTCGGCCAATCCAGCGACAAGGATATTTCTCGTCCAGCCACTGTCTAACACCCAGACGGAAATGCGCGGGACAGCCATCGTGTTGGTAGATCATCTGCATCCTGATATTCAGAGGCAGGTCTTCGAAATACTCCCAGAGTTCGGATCTCAAAAAGTTTTCATAGGATTCGCCATTCAGGTTGTCAGGCAAAAAAACTGGTCCAATTAGATACGTATGAATTATTCCCATCCACATGTTTGCCGAAAATCTTCTTTGATGGGCTCTTGGCTTTGCCATGTGGGGATTTGCCTCTCGTGGGGCCCAATAATGTAAGTTGTAATAATTTGTTATCCCCTCTAGACTCGTCGGTCCACAATATTTTAGTTAAATAGTCGTTTTCTTCTTGATCCCGATGAAGCATGTATCGACAAAAATCAATTCTTCTTGCGGGATCTCCTTCTTCTAATACTTGAACCGGTGTGTAATGGAAAGGGTAAAGTCTCGCCGAATGCAAAACGAACCAAACTTTCCACTGAGTTAAACCAGGCTGCTTTGCTATAACTCGTGTAGACGTCGTCGGGTCTCTGCCGTAGCATTCCGGTATTGCCTCTCGATCTTCGGCGTTAAACAACCGAGGTCTACCAGCATCATGACGTCTCTCATGAACCTGTCCACTTTCCTTGACGCGTTGGTACACAGAAACAAATACTCGATGATCCGGTATTCGCCGATTCGGAAAACGGTTTTCGTATTCTCGCCTGGCTTCAACGGAATTTCCATCACTTAAACCATAACAAAACAGAATATCAGCGTATTCTTCGTTACGGTAACTCGCCATTATTAAAACTGATCAAAAAAGTAAAAGTACGTCCTACCGCGTTAAAGGTTGATATTCTACTAACTAACCTAAGCGTTAGTTCCCTTTCCTTGATCCGTCAGCTATGTCAATTCATAACACACGCAGAGCTTGCTTCCGAGGAGCGACGACAGATTCCGAATACTTAAACCCGAATAACGACACAGGGCACAAAAAATAATAAATAGGGTCGAACCATGAAAGGCTCGATTTTCCTGCTCAGTACAATGAAATGCGCTTAGCGGTCCTTTCTAGCAAAGTAATATTGTTTTGTTAAATGGTTTACTTACTGATATGTTATTATACCATTTTAGAAGCCTAATGAAACGAGGAAGTTTTTGCAGTTATTTGTACATTTTCTTTATTATGATTTTTTTGAAAAAAAGACTTCATAATGTGAAAGTTGAAAATAGAAATTTTCATTTAACATTTAAATGAAAATAAATACGTTTTCAGTAGTGTTTTCATATGTTTTTTAATTTATGAGAATTATTTATTTAAATAATAACCTGAAACCACCAAAAAAAGAATGTTTAATCACCAACTTTTTTTTATCTCAACTATTTTACTCTGTAATCTGGGTTGTTTTTTTAAAAAAATTAAATCTTCCATAACTTTTTAACCTTTGAATATAGGGTAGTATTATATACTAATTTTGATAGCAAAGGAGCTGTACTATCACCTCCTAAAATGTTTTACACCTATTTACCTGTCACCCTGTATATATTATTTTTGGATTCCTTGAAACTCTCGATTTTTTATCGGTATTTCGTTACTCTGATGTTACTATCAGACAGACGTCTATGCGACATTCGGTATATTAGTGGATCCACTATAAGTGTGGTTATCTTGTGCAGTGGGTGTAGTACAGTTACTGTGATGGAGCATCTACATGATCGCAGAGAAAGAAGCATTTAGGTGAGTCATTTTTATTTTCAGTCATCCATGCTTGAATTAGGGGCAGAGAAATAGGGTATTAGAGATGATAAAAGGCGGATATGGTTTTATTTTTCATTAACGTTGCAGGCCCTTTTTTTCAACAGCCTGTCTGGAGGAGTATTCTTAATACTTTTCGTTTGATTGTTTCATGTGAATAGAGATCACCGAAAAGCAATGCTATCCGTTTTTTTGTGCATTTTTTCTTCAATCGTAACTTGTCAACAAATATTAGTACAGCTGTATGTGAACATCCCACATTTATGGAAGAATTGAGAGGGTGATTACTTTTCTTATCACCTCCTCTCTTTGCTTTTCTTGAAAACTAAATTTGCTGCAAAATGAAGTTTGAAGAAAATCAAATATTTTTCGAAGAGAAAAAGTGATAAGAATAAAAGTAGGCACCCGCCCAATTCTACTATAATAGTAGAATTTTGAAATACAATTTCAGCGCTTTACTTATACAGGGTGTCCGCAAATTTGGGGTTTTCCGTTTCTGAAACAACTACCCTTGAAATAACAAAGGTAATGTGTAGTGAAACGAGGGCGACCAAGTAAAAAAAAATAAAGGAAAAAGTACTCGCTCTCCAGTTGACGAGAAGGGCTAAGTACGTCTCTGCCCGAAATCATACCGCTCCAAAAGGAAATGAAATCAGCTGATGCGCTACCGAGCAGACGCAGGCAAACAAGGAAGGCAAAATGTTGCGTAAAAAGTCTAGGTATTGCATCCCGTCCAATTGATTTGGAAGAATAAATGGTCCAATGAGCATACCGTTCACCATGCCAGCCCAAACATTCACCGAAAATGTTTGTTGAAAATGTGCCCGACGGACAGCGTGCGGATTTTCTACTGACCAAACATGAGTGTTGCGAAAGTTATTCACCCCATTACGCGTGAACGTAGATTCGTCTGTCACCATTATGCTCTTCAAAAAGTCCGGATTATTGTCATGTTGATGCAACAACCACTCACAAAACCGCACTCTTGCTGGAAAATCGTCAGGTTGAAGGGCTTGTACACGTTGGACGTGAAACGGATACAGCCCCTCTTCACGCAGCGTTTGCCACACTTTAGTTTTTGATACTTGCACTTCTCTAGCCACGTCTCTAGTGCTTGTTGAGGGATTCTCGCCTACGCGATTACCTCTAGACGCGTGACCGTAACCGTCGGTTGAAGGTTGCATACTGACCTGACACACTGACCCCGACCCAGTTCTGTCGTCAGATTGAGCTAGTGTCCTAGTACCAGTCGGGGATGTCGCGGCTACAGGACGGTATTCAGATATTTTTGATGTTGCAGAGCCCTTTATCTCGGTTCCCTTAAGACATTGGTGTATATGGTACTAAGAAAAATTGCTTATGTTTTCAAGATCTACACGTCGTGTAAAGGAAAACCCCAACTTTACGATTGAAAAAAATGCACACAAAAAGCATTTAAAATGTACATTAAATGGATTTATCGACAAAAAACATTCCTAACATTGTTTTTAGTCATCTC